CCTCCAGGGCAGTGGAGCATCCAAGTGTCCCCGAAGACCCTGAGTACGTTCGGGTCAGAACCTATGAATCCCAAATGGTCATCCGTCCCCACAAAACCTTTGATGAGGTACGTTTTGGGGTGGGTTGGGAAACGGAGCAGAACGCTTGTCACGAGATTGCTTCCTCCTGCTCCAACCCCTGCTCTGAGGGGAACTGTACCTTCTCGGGCCATGATCCATAGCACTAACCTGGGGTAAATACTCCAGAGTCAGAAAGGAGGGTTGAGTTTGTTTCCCAAAGGCAAGGGAAACCCATCCACGTGTGGCTCTGGAAGGATTTGAAGCTCTATCCCAGTAGCTTGAGACTTCCTGCAGGAGCTTGGTGCCCCCGGAGAGCCGAACATGCCATTTCAGAGCACCTGGCTTCTTTAAAAAAGCCTTAAGCCTCGCAAGTCTCATTCCTAGCACTTAATGTTCTCAGAAAAATTGTTGCTTGGTCTTTGCAGGGTATCCAGAGCCTGAAGAGAGTGTGCTGGGTCAGTGGAGGGCTAGGGGAGTGACACCTCCTTCTCAAAAAAACCCCTTCCCTGTGTGCTTTCACTGGGTCTCGATGGGTCTGCGTCGCATCCTTCTTAACGCTGCAAGCAGCCCTAAAGGGAATTTAAGTGTGGCTGCAAAGCCCAGCAGAGTTTCTCTGCCAGCTCAGGCTCACTCGCCTTCTCCTTTCCCAGAACGGTTTCGACTACTTGCTGACCTACAGCGACAACCCGCAGACTGTGTTTCACCGTTACTGTGTCAGCTGGATGGTCTCGAGCGGTGAGTGAGCTTTGGTCGGGAGAATTCACCCCTTGGTGACAAATTCCTCCAGCTTCTCACTCTGGAGCGAGCACGGGCGCTCCTGCCTTCCCCTTCCTGCACCTGTGTGGGGCAGAAAATAGACAGAGAAGCTTAAAATCTGAGACCTGGAGGATTTGGGGGGTATTTTTGGTGCCTCAGGCTGCTCTTCCTTTGTCACGGGGAGGAAGTCCTGCCTGGATTCCTGGCTGTGAGGGGGAAAGGTGTCCATGCACAAGGATGCTCTTTCTCTCCCGTGTCTGCTCCAGGCAGAAGGAAAAAACCAGCAGGATCCCTTTTTTTTTTTTTTTAAATAGAATGAGCTGTTTTTTCCTTACTTCAGAGCAGCGCTGGCTCTGAAGCTCTTCTGCATTTGACTTCTGCCCCTTACAGTGAACAGGGAAGAAAATTCCTTCTAGTTAGAGGTACAGTGCCTGTGCTGAGACTTCCATGAAGGAGCTTGGCTTTAAGTGGAGGGGAAAAAAGCAGTGTTTAAAGGATCTGGCTGAGCCGATGGCTGTCCCCCCTGCAGAGCTGCCCAAAAATAAACCTGGAAGAGCCCGAGGTGCGCTTGGCATTGCAATACCTACTGAGGGGTTCAACGTTCCCCTCCAGGCAGGGGAGGATGGAAAGCGCCGCTTTCTCATGGGACTGGGAGAAAAATGGGCTGTCACCACCTTTAACTCATTTTATTTATCAGCAGAGGGAATAAAACCACAAGTGTGGTGATTTTTCCCCCCGCCCCCTTACCGTCATGCAGCTCGTGATAGAGACTGATGCAAGAACGAGTTGAAAGACGTTCATTCAACATGCTCGAGCATCAGACCAACTTTTTTTCTTCAACTTCCTTGCTTCGCCAGCCACTGAAACCTCTTTTCTTCCGGAGTGCGCTCTTTAATGCGTGTAAAAAGGCGTCTAAAGCTCCCGGGGGGGCTGGCGTCACCCACGCACCCCTGTGCCACAGTAGCTGCATGGTGCAGGGGCCTCCTCCGTGCTCTTAATGCTCATTGTTTTAGAATAAAAATGATGAGTGGTGGGAGATCAGCATCTCCAGGTGGGGCCGCATGGAGCTGGTGCAGCCCTGCCTGGGGCAGAGGCAATAATTACAAAAATTAAACATTAGTTAATGTGTCACAAAATCACTCCCAGGTCACTCATAACATAGCCAGGAGGCGGTGAGGTTCCCTAGGGCTCGCAGGAGGGGCTGCCTGGCTCCAAGGTCCTTGCAGCCCTATTCCAGAATGGATCTCAGCAAGTCAAATAAGAGTTGATTTATTTTTTTTAATTAAAACAACAAAAAACCCACCATAAAGCACCCTAACTGCGAGGTTTTAACTGAGCAGGGGGACGGGAAGCGGCAGAAATCCCTTAATGCCAGCGAGGTTGTGGGATGCCCCTTGAATAAAGCGGCAGGGCAGCGTTATCAGGATGGAAGAGAAAAGTCAGGAGGGAAAAGAAAAATCAGGGGAGGTGAGAAGGGGGAAAGACAGGAGGATCTTCCCTCCGGCATCTCCGGAGCCCGGCAGCTGCGTTGCCGAGCAGATGCTCGTTCCCCCTCCTGCTTCACTCACCCTCTCCCGCTTCTCCTTCCCACCAGGTATGCCAGATTTCCTGGAGAAGCTGCACACGGCAGCTCTGAAAGCCAAAAAGATGGAGATTGAAGTGCGGGACTATATGTCTGCCAAGCCCATCGAGAGCGGTGGCAGCGAGGGGAAGGCGAGTATGGCAGCAGCGGAGCACAAGAGCGATGGCACCTGCAGCCCTGCCCAGCTGGAATACGCCTGAGGAGCCGAACCTCCGCTCCTCCGGCCCCGGGACAGGAGCCAGGCTCTGGAGAGGGACCTTTACCATGCCGCTGCCGCCGGAGCTTAGTTCAGTTTTTTCCCTCCTTGTCTCATCTCCAAAGCTCTGCTCCCTCTTGAGGACGGGGATCCTGCCCCCTGTGTGTTTGTGGCCAGGCTGATGAAATCTCATGTCGTGTAATCATTTTTCTGTACTGGTAAATATTTCCCCTCCCTGACAAGAAAAAATACCCTAAACCAACCACCTTTTACCACAGCACGGACAGCCTCTCCCCACCCTGCCCAGCACC